GCCAGCTGCTCCACCCAGAGAAGCACACTTTGTGAGAACCAATGGAAAGGAGCCTGAGCTACTGGAACCTATTCCCTATGAATTCATGGCATGATGGGTGTTAAAAATAAACTAATCTGTGATCTATTAAAAAAAAAAAAAAAAGCTTATCTAAACCCCAATATACTTTAATATCTCAAATGGATATGTAACTTTTTTCCTTATTTGTGATTTCTGCTTTGGAAGATGGGATTTTGGTAGGGGAGCTAAGACTGTGCCTGATTTATAGAGAAAAAAAATCCTGAAAAGCATCGATTTCAGCAATAAGAAATGAAAGAAGAAAATGAAATTGTCCATGTTTGAGATGGAGCAAATAACATCACCGCATACTCCTACACCACCTTCAACCTTGAGGGGCGTGCGTTTGTCCCAGTCCTCTTCCCAAGTGTGCTGGCTGCCCCTGCTAGCAGGAGCTCCACCTGCTCCAGAGCAGCCCCCACAATGGTGGGCCCAGTGCCCTCCCTGCTGCTGGCACTCTGAGGCTAGGACACCGAGGAGTGCCGATGTAAGAGCAAGATTGGCAGAGGGTGAGCAGGACACGTGATTAGACACATACGAAGGGCAAACACTAGACGGCCAGGAAGACCACCATCTCAAATTGGACTGTCGCCGGCCTACCTCATTCTCCAGGCTGCCCTGTCCTCTTTCACAAAAACAATGTAAAATGGGGACCAGCAATTGGCGTAATGGCTATGTCGCTGGACTCCCATGTAGTCGACCGCAGTTTGCGTCCCGGACCCGGTGGCTTAAAACTCACGCCAGGCACGTGTGCGTGCGTGCCCAAGATCCCGAGAGGAGAACGGAGGAGAAGGGATTGCGGCGTGGCCATCCCCCCTGGGGGGTGATTTCTCACTTTCTGTCTCTCTGTTACTCTGTCTTTCTGGCAAGCGCACACACCCTATAGCAAAAAAAGTCTCAAAAAAAAGAAAGAATAGCCCATAAAAAAAATGTCTAATTTTGATATTATTAGATGAACTGATGGAGCAAGAGAAAAGCAGAGGAACTCACACAGACAAATTCACTCTACAAAGACAGCAACCCAGGAGACTATGCGTAAAGGGGACACTGGCCAAGTAATACTTACGAAGACCTGATCGATGTCCTTCCTGATATCGGCGACAATCTGGGCGCTGTCACTCCTTGCTAACACCGCATCGAGAGAATGCTGATGAATGGATTCCAGGAGCCGGGCGGGGTGCCCCAGGCGCAGAATCCGTTGCTTACACCGAGCCAGATGCTCCACTAGATTGTCCACAGCGATGTTGGAGGGAGCACAGCACAGAACCTGAAAAAGTTGCTCGAAAATTACGATTGGGTGGGCCAGCAGGTGGTGTGAAGGTTAAGATTCTAGATCCCACATGGTGGCTCAAGTCCCGGACCCCCTGACAGCTTGAAAATTATACCAGGTGCATATGCAAGCGTGCTCAAAATCCCCAGAGGAGACTGGAGGAAAAGAGATTGCAGTATGGCCTTCCCCCCAGGAGGCCGATTCTCACTTTCCCTCTCTCGCTCTCACTCTCTGGCAGGCACACGTGCTATGTAGCAAAAACGAAAAACTAAAAAAAAAAGAAAGGTCAGATAATTTCTGTTTTCATTAAACCCCTTAATTTCACAGTCAAATGCACAGCCTTAAAGGAAAAGAGAGAAGGGCAGGGCATGGACAACCGGCAGCACTGCAGTATAAACATACAGCTTTAACAGTGAAGACGGTGTAAACACACGTTACAGCAAACTGTACACTATCTGCCAAATCACATCTTCACAGACATGTCAGTCATCCAAGCACCAAAAATTCTAGGTAACTAACAACTAGAAAGAAAAAAATTTTAAAACTAAAATGTCAGAGTCCCCACAGCACAGCAGTTCAGCTCAGAGAGCCAGATCTCCCATGGCCGATCGTGCTGCCCTGATGGCTTGAAAAACACACCAGGTGCATGTGCATGCATGCCCAGAATCCTGACAGGATGGAGAAATGGAGAAGGGATGGCAGTGTGACCATGCCCCATTGAGGGGATGCGCTCTCTCTCACTCTCTGGCAAGCATGCACAACCCCTGGAAAGTTAAAAAAAAAAAAAAAGTAATGGGACCAGCAGTTGGCATAATGGTTATGTCATTGGACTCCCACGTAGTCGACCATGGTTTGAGTCCCTGACCTGGTGACTTAAACTCACGCCAGGCACGTGTGCGTGAGTGCCCAAGATCCTGAGAGGAGAATGGAGGAGAAGGGACTGAGGCATGGCCATCCACCCTGGGGGGGTGATTTCTCACTTTCTGTCTCTCTGTCTCTGACTTTCCAGAGAGTGCACATACCCTATAGCAAAAATCTCTCTTAAAAAAAAAAAAAAAAAAAGTAAAATGTGTACTGAAATCCACCATTTTATCATCTGACAAAATCAAACAAGGGACAATCTCTCTGAATGGGCTCAACCTTGCTTCCAGAACTACAATCCACTATTGAAGTAGGTGGCAGCTGGCAGAGAAGGCAGAGGAGAGGCCCTGTATATCCCCAACCTCTAGACAAAAAGAACTCCAGTGAGGAGACCTTGCCTACCTCTTCCTATGCCTGTCATTCCTCCACTCCGCTTATCTGTCCAGAGGCACATAGGTTCTCATTCTATATACGGAAAGAAAAAGCACCAAACTACAGGGCTGGACAGTGGTGTGGCAGTAAAATGCACCCTCCGTGAGGCTGACCCACATGGAAAGGTTCTAGGTTCACATCAGGAGGCCTTCCTGAGGACATCAGGTACAGTGGGAGCTGACGGGCACTGATGACCAAAAGGACCTGCTGCCCACCTTTAAGCCTTGTTTCACAGCCTGAAGAATGATTTCAACCACAGTCGTCGTTTTCCCGGTGCCAGGGGGTCCATGGATGATGGCCAATTCTTTCTGGGACAGAGCGAATGAAACCGCTTCTTTCTGGGAGGCATCCAGGGAGGTGTTGTGGAACGTCAGTGGATCTGCAGAAAAAGCACCAGCATCAGCCTGCAGTTCTCTGCCACCCGGGTACTTTCTCCAGAATGGACACTGACAGGAGCGAATGATGCACACAGGAATATGCTGGACCTCCCTGGGTTAGGGTGAATCCAATCAACACAAAATCTGTCTGCTTTATTTTTGAAAGATCTCTCCTAGAACAGAAATCGGCAAACTACAGACCACATCCAGTCTACTGCCTGTCTTCCTGTTTTATTGGGATATGGCCACGCTTGTTTGCATGTATCTATGGCTGCTTATTGCTACAGCCCAGTAGCAAGAGAATCCTGTACAGCTCTCCAAGCCTAAGTATTTACAGTCAGCCTGGCTGCAGTCAGCCTGGCTGCAGTATTCCATATTGGGGTGTACTGATCTGCAGTGCGGGAAGCCACTTGACCAACAGTAGGTTTGGCTCCTGGGTTGAGCTAAAATGCATTAGCAGCATGCACCTAAGATTCTGGCCAGCTGGAGAGCTGGACAATGGGGCTTGCAGTGTGACCAGATCCTATTGGGAGTGCCTGTCTCATTCCCTCTTTCTCTCATGAAACAAAAATGACTAAACCTCCAAAAAAATTCCATATTGGGCATCACCAGTGTGAATTGATCTGGGAGTTAAAGAGGGCTCCAAAGGTGGGAAATGAAGGCAGTGCCTCAGTTGCTGGTGTGTGTGGTGCCCTGTTCTTTCATCACACACGCACAGAAGAAATACTACAGTGAATAAAGATTACTCGGCATTTTGGCACTGCTTTTTCTACTGTAGTTGGCTTTTGAATGAAGATGACAATGGAAGAGATGAAGAATGAAGCTGAGACCACTTCCATGCTGTCTATGCCCCTCTAGGCAGTCATGTATCCTGTGTTTAATGAGCTAGAACAAGTAAATCTGCAGCTCAGACACTGAGAGCCACATTCATTAAGACCAAAAAGGAAAATCCAGGTCCCACACAAGACAGCATACTGAAAATTTTAGAGACAAAAAGTGTACAAGTTAACTTCAGAGTCCCTTCTTCGTTTATGGCAGCTGATGAAGTAGAAAAGTATATGACTGAATAACCAGAGCTAGAATTCCAGGACCTAAATGAAAAGGCACAAGCACTTAAACAAATTCTCAGTAAGATCCCAGATGAGATCAGTGACAGAGTGAGGTTTCTGCAGACAATCAAGGATATAGCTAGGGTAATAAAAGAACTTCTTGATGCAGTGAATAATGTCTTCGAGAAATAGCAATACTAGAATCACACGGCACTTGAACACCAAAAGAAAGAATTTGTAAGAACTCCAAAAGTTTCAGTGATAGTCTGAAACCACATTTTAAAGATGGCGAGACAATAAATGTGTTTGTAAGTGCCAAGCAACTAATTCATCCAACCAACTTGACCTTCAAAACTGTGGCCTGGGGACCAGCAGATGGTCTAATGGCTATGTCACTGGACTCCTATGTAGTTGACCACAGTTCGAGTCCCAGACCTGGTGGCTTAAACTCGCGCTGTGCATACGTGCCCAAGATCCTGAGAGGAGAGTAGAAGAGAAAGGACTGGGGCGTGGCCATCCCCCCGGGGGGTGATTTGTCATTTTCTGTCTCTCTGTCTCTCTCTATCTTTCTGGTGAGCGCACGTGCTCTATAGAAAAACCTCTCAAAAAAAAAAAAAACAAAAAAAAACCTGTGGCCTGAAAGTTGTATATGTTAAGAGATGTGCTTTTCAGTAGCAGTACTAGACTGCCTTTATCTGTAAATTTTTCAAGTTTGACTATAAATTATCAGTCCCTCCTGAGAGGATCTAATCCAGGATGCTTCTTACACCATATTTTTGTAAAATGTAGTTTAATCATAACCTCACACTGAAGATTTTTGCATCACTTTTGCTACTATCATTCTTTTAAGAATTATAAGCCACAGAATTTATGCCTTCATGTGTCATTATATAACATTCCTTAAAAGAATTGTAAATATTGGTGTTTGTTTCTGACATTTTAACTTGAAAGTGATATGCTGCAAGATAATGTATTTAACAATATTTGGTGGCACCATAGAGAAATTTAAAGAGAATTATGTATCAAGTATTCATGTTAAATGATTTCATTTTTCAATTATAAAATAAAGGACAATATCAGGAAAAAAATTACATATTTACAGTCTTTCCCCCTATGGGAAGTTTGCCAACTCACGCTACAGAATAACAAAAATGAAGTAAACGTTTCTTTGAATATATTCATTTCTACCACATTGTTCATCTTTTAAGTGCCCATAAAATGACAAAGTGAAATGACCAAAAAAAAAAAAAAAAAAAAAAAACCATAAGAGTGACAAGAGCCCACGGGGTTGGACTCCCACATGTTTGATTGTAGTTCGAGTCCTAGACCTGGCTGCTTGAAAATCAGGCCAGGCAAGTGTGCTTACATCCCCAAAGTCCCAAAAAGAGAACAGAGAAGCAGAGATTGTGGTGTGGCCATCCCCTCCAGGTGTCCTTTCTCACTTTCCATCTCACTGTCTCCTCTGGCAAAAACCTAAAAAACTATTAATACGGCTGCCACAGTGCAGCAGTGCTTAACTGCAGAGGACTCTGGACTCCACATGACCAACTGCGGCTTAACTGCCGGCCCAGAGGCTTTATAAAACAAGCTGGGGGACCAGCAGATGATGTGGCAGTTATGTCACTGGACTCCCCACATTGCCAACTGCAGCTTGAGTCCCAGACCTGGTGGCTTGAAAATCACACCAGACACATGTGTATGCGTGCCCAAGATCCCAGGAGGAGAACGGAAGAGAAGGGATTACAGCACGGCCATCCCCCTGGAGGGTGATTTCCCACTTTCCCTCTGTCTGTCTCTCTCTCTCTCTAGCAAGCACATGTGCCCTAAGGCAAAAAAAAAAAAAAAAAAAACCTTAAAAAAATAATAAAAACAAGCTGGGCTTGTGCACACATACCTAAGATTCCGGTGGAAAGTAGAAATGAAGGAGGAGACTGCAGTATGAGCAGGACCCATTAGAAGTGCTTTCCTGCCAATCCCCAAGGCATGCACATGTCCTCTCTGGCATTAAAAACAAAGCAAGGGACCAGCAGATGGCATAGCGGTTATGTCTCTAGACTCCCACATGGCCAACTGTGGTTCGAGTCCTGGAGACGGGGGTGGGGGGCAGGGGGGAGCACCCCTCAATGGCGTACAGTCGCACCACCACCTCCTCTCCTCGCTCCATCTTGGCACTACTTTAGGCACACATATACACACGCCCCGTGTTTTTCAAGTCACAGGGACCAGGATTCAAACTATGCAGTCGGCCATGTGAAATCTGTTTCCCTTAACCACTAGGCCACAGGGCCAGACCTATGTTTTGTTTTGTTTTGTTTTGTTTTGTTTTTTGGAGAGAGATTTTTGCTATAAGGCTCATGAGCTCCCTGGAAAGAAAGAAAGAGAGAGAGAGAGAGAGAGCAAGAAATCACACACACACACACACACTCCGCCCATGAGGAATAGCTACACCACAATCCCTTCTCCTCCATTCTCTTCTTGAGATTTTGGGCACACACACACACGTGCCCGGCGTGAGTTTTAAGCGACCAGGGCCGGGGCTTGAACCACGGTCGACTATGTGGGAGTCCAGCAACTTAACCATTACACCATCTGATGGTCCCATGGTCAGCCTTATGTTTAAGATGAACAGAAGACTACAGTATGGAAGCATAGGTACAATATGAAATGGTTGTGGGGTACCCCTTGCATTAGATTTGACTGAAACCAATGCTTTAAAAACTGGCAAAGTCCAGGATCTAGAGAACTGTTAAATTAGGACAGTGCTGGAGGGGACACTAAACTCCTCTCAAAAATGAGAGCCTTTGGGCCAGCCAGTGGCGTGATTAAGTCAGCCTGATCCCACATTGATGACTACGTGGTTCACGTGCCACCCCCAGTGGCTTAAAAAAACATGCTGGATGCATGTTTGTGCCCCAAATCCCCCAAAGAATAAGAAATGGATGAGAAAGGATTGTAGGGTAGTCATCCCCCTGGGCAGGGTTTTCTCATTCTCTTTCTCTCTCGTGAATATACATTGCCTATAGCAAATTTTTTGAAAAAGAAAGAAAATCCAAAAGTTCTTACGTATTTCGCTGACCGAACTGGGGTCTGATATGCCAAAGAGAACTTCTATGAGTGAGGCCGCCGGCCCAGAATGGTATTTCTTCAGAGCAAGCAGAGCTCTGCCAAGAAAGAAAACTAAAATTAGGACTCAGTGAGGACTAGCCACCCAAGGCCCTGAGTCCCACCCCAGAATGACTGCATCTCATCTGGGAAGCCAACGTAACTTACAGCTAAATGCTCAACAGCAGGAGTGGCCAGGGTGAGGGGCTGGCCCCACCGTGCAGTGGTTGGCCCTCTGCATACAGAGCTGGACCCAACGTGGCTGACAATGGATCGAATTCCAGCTGCAGTGGTTTGAAAAACAAGGGGAGCATGTGTGTCTGTGCCCCAAATCCTGGCAGGATGGAAAAAGGATTGTGGCATGACCATGCCCAATGTCGGGTGCTTTTCTCCCTCCCCCCTCTCTCTGGCAATAAAAAGACATTTTTAAAAAAAATTAAAGAAGTATTTATTTAATTCTACTTAATATCATTACCATTTTTTAATTGAGCTTACCAGAGATATAGAGAGAAAAAAAGTGAGAAAGCAAGCAAGTCGCCAGGCTGGGACTCTAACTGCGGTCAGCCATGTGGGAGTCTAGGACCTGAAATACCACGCCACCTGCTGGCCCTAAAAAAATTTTTTTTTTTTAATTTTTTTAAAAGAAATTTTTTGAGGGTGCTTTCTCAGTTTTCCTTTCTCTCTATCTCTCTCTGGTCAAATTTAAAAAACAATAATAACAAATGGAATTAAATAACTAAATAATTAGGTTTTTTTAAAGAATTTTTTTTCTTCCCTTCTCCTTATACATAATTATCCCACATAAAATTTCACTCAAGACAGGGCTAGCCACTCCAAGGGGTTATGTATTATTGATATGAAAACAATATTAAATGCCATGCCCTCCATTATTATTCAAAAAAAAAAGCACCAAGATGATTAGCTTTGTCAAACAGCCCGTTAAAACTATTTTTTAAAAGTTCAGAAAAAAAAGTAATATTTTTTTTAATTTAATTTTATTCATTTATTTATTTTAATTTGACCAGAGAGGGACAGAGTGAGAGAGAGAAGGAAAGTGAGAAAGCAAGCCACAGGACTGGGACTTGAATTGTGGTCAGCCATGTGGGGGTCCAGCACCCCCAACCACCACACCACCTGCCAGCCCCAGCCCTAAAAACTTTTTGAAGCAGCAGTAGTCAGAATGAGTGAGTTGTGATAAACATTCCGTGTGTGATTTCCCATCACACATACTTACTTTTTCAGTCGCTTGTAAGTGACGTCATTTGCAAGTTTCAAAAGTCTATAGGAATTCTCTTGACCCAAGTTCAACTGGAAATCATGGGACTCATCGAAGGCCACCGTGACTGATTTCTGGGTGATCCGGGTCAGGATACCAGTGGCCAGCTGCTTGCCTTCGTTAGCAGCATCATATAGACCTACTATATCACCTGTAGAAATGAAAGCCCAGTTACAGGCAAGCTTCATGGCACAGTGGTTATGCTCTGCTTAAAAGAAGCCAGATTCAACATAGCCGACCACAGTTCAAATCTCAGTACCAGCTGCTTAAAAAAACACCAGGTATGGGAACAGCAGTTAGCGTAATGGCTATGTCGCTGGACTCCCACGTAGTCGACCGCGGTTCGCGTCCCAGACCCAGTGGCTTAAAACTCAAGCCGGGCACGTGTGCGTGTGTGCCCAAGATCCCGAGAGGAGAACGGAGGAGAAAGGATTGCGGCGTGACCATCCCCCCTGGGGGGTGATTTCTCACTTTCTGTC